GGGCTATAGGGCTATAGGGCCATAGGGCTACGAGGATATAAGGCTATAGGGCTATAGGGCTACAGGGTTACCGGGCACCCGGGCACCCGGGCACCTGGGCACCAGGGCACCCCGGCACCCCGGCACCTGGGCACCCGGGGACCTGGGCGTGCCGCCGATATCGGCGCCGCACCTCACCTAACCATGAATCCGCTAGGACTCCTACCGAGGCAAGCTCTGACTGGGGAACAGAGATCCTCAGGGAAATCTGGAGCAAATCATGCACGCTCCAGCGCAAGTGGAGGGACAGCAGAAGCCGTTAAGCCCTTACCGAGACGAGTTGAGGTACATTCCAGACCCTCCGCAGAGTAAGCTCTGCTCTCCACGGTGTTGTCGAGCACGATGTTCATGAACTGGTCATAGCCCCGCAGCACCCCGACGACATGCCGATTCTCGGGGCGGAAATGTCTCCTCCTCATCCTCCTCATCCTCCTCATCCTCCTCATCATCACCATCATCATCCCCGTCCGTCTTCTCCTCCTCCTCCTCCTCCTCCTCCTCCTCCTCCTCCTCCTCTGCCACCGCCTCTCCTGCAGAACCGAAACGAGTGCATATACGCATGCTGCCCTTTCCCCACTGCAGCAGACAACATGATCTGAGCCTTGGGCCTCAGATGCACACTTGTTTGGACTGCTTGCCTGAACACATTTGGTAAGCAACGGGTTGAATTGCACCGATTGTAGGGCCGAGCGGCTTCCCGCTGCACCAGATGCTACCAGACAACGTCTACGGGCCAGAAGGACACAAGACAAGTTGGACCAAGGGGGCACATACAAAGAGAAGGCGAGGGCGGGATCTCCAGATGCGATTTCCGCCGAGCACGCAGTCGTGCTGAAGACGTGTTACCACACCCCCGAGGACCCATAGCCGACGCAGTGTCCTGGGACCCTTGGAAGCCCCAAGTCGCCCGAAACGTCCTCGGAGAACGACCCGAGTCCCAAAACCGTGCGGCCGGCGACCCCGTCCCCGCCCCCACGGACTCGCCACACCAGGGAACAAAAACTACAGATACTGCCACGTCCGGGGCCGCTCCTGGGGCACGTGCTGACCAGAACCTCAAAGAGAATCCAGCTGCGGCGACGAGGGCCTCCCAGGAGGCCCAAGAAGGCCAAAACGAGGCAGAGGCGGCGACATCGGCACCTTTTCCTAAGCCCCACTGTCTCACCAAGCGGTGTGGTCACCCCTGGGGGGCCACATGCGAACCCTCCCCCTACCCCCCACGATTTCTGAGGGGGAGGGGGGGGGGACCACTTCGCTCGGGAGCTCCCAGACGAAGGTGGACCCCACCCTCCCCTCAGAAATCGTGGGGGCAGGGGCAGGTTTCGCATGTGGCCCCCTAGAGGGAGGAGGAGGAGGAGAGAGGAGGAGGAGGAGGGGAGGAGGAGGAGGAGGAGGAGGATAGAGGGGGGAGGGTAGGAGGAGGAGGAGGAGAGGAGGAGGAGGAGGAGGAGCCAGGACCCCCCTGCTGAGGGCCCAAATCTCGCCGAGAAGGCGCGCTCGCAGGCCCCGGGGGCGGCTCGGCCGCGGCCGAGCGTCGGGAGGGCGCACCGCCGATCGCGCGGAGGCCACGCGCGGAGCCGGGGCCACGCCGCGAGAGAGCTCCCCCTCGCCGTGCGGCAGGGGAGCTCCTCTGCGCCACACGGGAGTCCCGCCGGCCCTCTGGGCGCAGGCCGCTTTGAGGAGCTGGTTGCTCCAGCCTCCCCGTTCCCCTTCGGGGAGAGGCCCGCCTCTCCTCCTGCCCCCCTCTCCCCCGAACCCCCCTCCCACGAGGGAGCTCCCCTCTCGTGCCGCAGGGGGAGTTCCTCTGCGCCACACGTGGGTGGATTCTATTCCTGCGTCGACGTCTTCCACGGAGCCCCCCTCCAGTAACAAGGTGAACGCTAGCCCGCCCAGGACCAAGCATGGGCCCCCATCGAAAACGACGGAGCCAGGGCCGTCAGTCGAATACCTTGCTTGCTTAGGATATCGGAGGTATTTCGCCATCTGTATTTCTGCGTGCGAACGGAAGTCGTTTGCACAGCAGTTTGAAACCAATGCTCGCGCAGCAGCAAACGAGTCCCCCGAACACAAGCACGAGGCAGAAGGCGATTGAGCTCTCGGGACGCGAGATCATCGCACCCACGGCTCGAGAGCAAAGCCTGACAATGCAATCCAGCTTTTGCGACGGCAGGGCCAACACAAACAGATTAGTCACGCAAGCATTACACGTGCGGCGATGAGGAAACATTAGAACCTAATCGGCAAGTGCTAGAATAGTATCTCATGTTGATGTGCCAAGCATGCACTCTTAACGTGACTGGCACTACTACTGTGTAGTGACGACTTGCTGATATCGATAGTTTGCTGCACGACCACGGACTCACGAACAAAATGGTGAGATGTGACGTGCATTGCATGCAAAGCTGGCACCCGTGCTCACCGTCGGGATCCATTGAGCGCTGCTTAGGCGCCGCTGTGTGGCTATCTTCATCCACCATTCATTCGCCACCGTTTGCTCATGCCTTGGTGTCCATCCTGAAAGGCATGCCAGTTCATCTTGTGTGTTTCATCTATCTTAGTTTCCCGCGGCATTGCACCTTAAGTGACGTGATGCACCAGGTGGTGCACTGCTGGCCACCTGTAGAAGGCTCATCAGGCTCACCAGCACGTGCCCCACAGAGGGCTGTCGTCTACGGAGGGCCACAGTGTACCAACCACAGAGCCAACACGCTGCTAATTCCGCCGCGAAGCCGATGAGGGTGGAAGCTTATTGTTGAAGATTTGAAGGCGGGGAGTGTCGCGCACTTGGACATTGGGCTGCGGCTCCATTGCTCCTGCCCACCGCGACGACTTAACCGCACTTTCCCCACTTGCTTCGTCATTGCTGTATCAGGTGCGCCATCGCACACGCAGTGCAATCGCTCAATGCTCGTGCAAAGCAAAAAAAAAAACAGCGACGAAAAGGAGGTGGAGAAGGATGAGCAGGCGAGAGGAGGACGAGGAGAGAGGACGGTGGGAGAGCAGGGTACGGTTCAGAATGGCAGGTCATGGGCATGTGGAGCATCCATGCTTCCAGCAAATCTGCATAATTTGGCAGCGTACCCAGTATTTGTTCGTGCTGTTGGTCATCATGCTTTTTTATGCTAGTACTTCGCTAGCTCCGGGACATCATGCTCGACCCCGTCTCCGTTCGCAGCCTCCCCTGAGGCTGCTGGGGCGTCAACCTTTGCAAGGGCTTGCTGGTCCTGTGTTCTCTTGCGTATACCACAAGGAACAATATGATGTATCTAATGGGCTCTAAACCCTCCTCCTCCTCCTCCTCCTCCTCCTACTGCTCCTCCTCCTCCTCCTCTTCCTCCTCCTCCCCCTCTCCCTCCTCCTCGTCCCCATTCATTCTGCCCTTAATCTCGCTGGCGGGCCCGCGAGGACTTCACTACACGAGCACCGTCCTGAAACGCATTGCCGCATCTCGCTGGACGATCAGGCGCAGATCATCCACGAGCGAGCTCACGGGGCAACTCCACCCCATGAGTTATGAAGGGGCGAGGAAAGAAGAGGGGGGAGGAGGAAGGCAGGAGGACGACGAGATGGAAGGAGAACCTCGGCACCGCGCAGAACAAGAATGTCAAGTACCGTTGAACGGAAACCAGCCGCCTTGAGTAGCTGATCGTCAGGACTGCACTCTCTCGAGCACGTTGACACTGCATAGAATTTGCAAATCCCATTCGATTCATCCACTTGCTGGCACATGGTCGGGACTGAGATCAACGATCAACCATTTTCTACAAAGGAAACGGTGAAACGGAAGATCATACATCATACCTTAGCCCCGAGAAAAGATAGGCGCAAAAACTCGTTGATACAACGCAACAACATGGCGGTCCCTCAATGCGGTCAAGCAAGCAGAGCTGAGCAACCTCTCGAGCAGAGCAGCCCGACCACCTGGGCCCAACCGCCGATTCTGTGTGACGCCTGGAGATGTCGTCGCCTGTGCACGCACGGGCTTCGCATATTCTGCACTTTTGGACTGCTGAGCAAGCCTCCCCGATCGCTGGTGAAATGCCACTTACAGAGGAGTGGTCTCATTGACCCCTTCCAGGAGCAGGAGAACAGTCTGTCTGTGAAGCGTGACACGCTGGATGACTTATAACGCACCTTGGTGCACACTGTGGTAAGAAAATTGATGCTATCCTACACCCATCATTAAACTCGCTGGGAAAAGTCCTCTTTGGGTCGAGGCTAGGCAGCAAGATACTCGAGTTCGACTGTCTAGCGCCCGATCCACTTGTCGTGGGCGTGAGGGCAACGGGCAATCCACTGTGATATCTGAGCATGACAGCTCGGGAAGCCCATGAAATACGTGTGGCCGATGCCCTTCCACATTATCACATCTGCAGACTTAATACGACGGCCCTCAAGGAGAGCTCCCTGGCATGTGAAAACATGTTGAGTATGCACGATGCCTCGGGCAGCAAGAACAGACTCCACCTTCGCTATCCGCTATTGTGCACGTCGCGTCCCCATGGCGTGTCAATACAGGCGGGACTCACTGTCATAAAAGTGCCGGAGTGGGAAAGTCCACGCGCGCTCCAGCAAAAAGCACCCCCGTCCTCGTCAACCTCCTCCCTGTAATGTACCTGGCCTCGCCAAAAACGCCAGAGTGCGCTCGTCACCGCTACAGCCAGAGTGATGTCGAAGTGGGCAAAAGAGAAGGCGCTGTGTGAGGCTACCCTTGACGATAGAAAGTGCTCGAGCAGGGGGGGGTGGGCGAGGGGGGCAGCGCTGTGCGAGGTCCTCTGCGCAACACAACGCGGTGTCCATCCTGCGTACAACATGCCCCTCCCGAGCCCTTGCTGTTTCGAATCCCTGCGTCCTGGGCCAGGCGCCGTTTGAGTGCCAGGACTCCTGGCACTCAAACGACTGACACCGAAGTTAGCGACGCACACCCTACACGGCTTGACTATACGCCCGGCTCGTATTTGTCAGTAAGGGGGCACACGCGAAGCGTCGCTGATCTGGTCGTGCACAAATGCACGGACGATGTGGCTTGGTACGATCTGGTCCTTTTCGCTTAGGAAAAATGCGACTGGGAGCTCCGCTACATGCTCGGGGTTCAGAATGTGCTGGTGCCAGAAGAACCGCCGGCGGAAGTGGAACTGCATTCCTGGGGGCGGCTTCGAATAGTCAGCATGCGGAGGAGAGGATGCGATGGATAACCTAGCTGCAATAATCTCCCAAAGCCTAAATGCTAGCGTCCACAGTGCACATTCACGACAACGGAAACGCACACGATAACATCAGGAACCCTTTCGAACCTGGACATAATGTACGAACCTTACTCATGTCCAAAGGACATACAAGTATCAAAGCCGCCATGAGGTTCCGATTGCCGCAGCGTGTCCAAGACTGAGCATCATCATTTGGGCAGCGGGGCCATACTAAGCCTCCACTTCCTTCTACCGAACCCACTCCCACTCCTGGATTGTGCAGCCTGCTAGTTCCTGCTCATGTGGGGCACTCGTGCGCGAGGACGGCTGTCTTTGGATCTGGTATGACCTGCCCGAACATCATGCCAATCCCAACCACCGGTGCTGTCTCAGATCGACGCCACCTCAATGAGTCACAAATCACACATAGGGTCATTGGCAAAAACAAGAAATGCTTCCTGCGGGTTCTGGGAACGCATTCTGGCTACCGCTGCCAATGAGCCCCAAGCTCTAATAAAACAGATTGGCGGAACTAGCCCGAATGCCTCCGTTACCTCCGCAAGTAATCCAAGATTACTGGTTGCCACCGCTTGACCCGACTGGCCCCACTGGCCCTACTCGGGCGCGCACTAACCGACCACTTGCATGACGAGCCCCTTCCGTGACGAGCCTCTTCCGCAACGACCCCCTCAGCTTCGAGGCTCCCCTCCGGCCGCCTGCTCACGCCTTGGATCGACGCGAGGGGGGCCGTCACGGGAAAGGGTCGGTCTGCCAGGGGTCGGTCAGGCCGCCCCTGACCTGCCTCGTGTTCTTGGACCGCTCGCTACCGCCGCTGGCCGCGGCAGGCCCCGCTGGCCCTCAGGTTCCGGGACACTGCCCGATGCCGCCGCCGGCCCCCCACCAGCCCCCCTGGACTCCCCCTGTCGATAACTTCTGGGAGCACTTGTTGCCGCAAGTGGGTCCACACTACCGTCAAAGCGTGGGTCAAGAACATGAGCCCCTTCGCAGAAGGCCTAAAGCCCATGGAGATATCCCAAAGCATGGGGCATTCCAAGATAAGGAGCCCAAGCACAAAGAACATAAGGGTACCTCTGCCTCGTGCCAGCTGTAGGCCAACTTGCACCACGTGCCCTGCTTCCAGGAGGCATGGTTGCCATCACTGGCTTTTTACTGGAGGGTCCGATTTGCCTGGCAGGGCCGCCGATTACCGCAGTAGCCTCTATGTTGCACCCCTGGCCCACTAGACACATGTCATAGCTGCCGCCAACCCTGGCTGCCCCTGCCCCGATAACCCAAGCCCCAGCCTGGCCACTACAAGCCTCACTAGCCCTGGCTGCCACCAACGATGAGTGCCGCCACTCGCTCCTGCAGGGGACGGGGAGGACGCGCAGGAGAATTGGGTTGAGGTGGATGCCTGTCCCGGCCAGGCCCCCCTGCACGGCCTCGTCTTCACCTCCTGGAGGGTCTCGTCGTCGTCGTCAGTGGCGTCGGCGTCGGCGTCGGCGTCGGCGTCGGCGTCTTCTCGGGGTCGGCGTCGGCGACGTCGTCGTCGTCGTCGGCGGCGGCGTCGGCGTCGGCGTCGGCGTCGGCGTCGGCGTCGGCGTCGGCGTCGTAGTCGTCGTCGTCGTCACCATCACTATCACCACCGCATCCGATCCGCCACCGTCATAAGATACGGGACAAAAAATATTCACCACCACCACCACCTCCCACATCCCCTCCATTTCCTAGCAAAGAAGAAAGGGAGAGGAGTGTGGACGAGGGAATGGGAATAGTGGTGGTGGCGTTCATTATTAAAACCCACAAAAGAATGCGCAGGCTGGGATCCGTCCTGGCTCGGAGGAGCACCACAGGAAGCACAGCCACTCGAAAGCGCTCCTTGGCGCGCGGTACAAGAAGCTGTGCGCCACGTCTGGCCTCGGAGCTCCTCCTCCTCCTCATCCTCCTCCTCCTCATCCTCCTCCTCCGCTGCTCTTTCGCTGGCGCGGTCGCGCCGGTTTTTCCCTACTATCTCGCTGGCCGTCGGGAACGAGCAGGGGGTCGAGTGCCGTGCTGTCGTGGCGTGATTCCTCCCTGTCCGCCTCACTTCCGCATCCCTCTTGCCGAATCCTCACTCTTCCTCCTCCTTCTCGTTCTTCCAGTACTCCCTTGAGCATCGTCTAACTGACCCATATCCCCATGGGCGTAGCCTGGGCCCCACTGGCCAGTTCACCGCCCTACCCCCAGGTGGGGATGTAGGCCGCTTCTTTCGGATTTCGAGAGGCACATCCCAAAA